ACATGCATTTGTTCAGCATGGTATAACTCATCCTTTTGTTTGTTACTCTGTCTGATCTTCATTTAGCTTGCAAAGAACTTCAAGTCACACAGATGCATCCAGATCATCACTTGTTGCCCTAATGTTGTTCAAACTAAAGGATAATCATATGTTAGTTATATATAGATAAAAATCTTAGTTAGACTTTGAATTAGAGAATTATTTAGTATTGGGCTGGTCGTAACAACTGTACCAATTAGTGGAATGATGTGTGGCTGCCAGTAGATGCACTCCAAAAATACAAAGATGATTTGCTTTGGCTATATTTTATTGGTGCCATTTCACAGAGTAGCAATCAGAAGGCATGAGCAGGTTCATTGCTTCATTTTTACTTGTTGAAAAACGTGTCCATGTATAGCAATTGTGAGTGTTGTCCATTTAATAATTACGGCAATAATATAAAATATTCAGCCTGAGCACGAATGCTGAATGGGAGAGGAAGTTAAGGTGTCTTTAAAAAGTAATGAGTTTTGGTGTGGTTCATACTCAGGAGTACAGGCAAATGCATTAACACATTCACTTTGATCAACTTATTTTTACCATCAAGAAGGCTTAGAAATAAAAGAAAAATCAGTAGAGAAAGCAGACTGTAAAGTTGTATAGTACTGAATGTCAAACTGCAAGTTGATATTCTTTTGTCTTTAACTTTCATAGCGTTTTCTGGGGTTTCAAAGTGCAATTTCTGAATTTTAATCTTTCTATGAAATCTACAAACCCTAACATTCATATTTCACTAATCAAAAATGCTAGCCTAGAGAGACCAATTTTCTTTTGCTCTCTAGGGACTGAACCATTCTCATGTGTGAGAATGACACATTTATTTTGCGTAGGAATAGGCTGTACAAGAAGAAGCAAGAGGATAAGAAGAAGCAGAGGATAAGCCTAAACAATCTGCATGTAAAACTTTAATATAACTAAAACCAAAGACTTTAATAATCATAAAGCCTAGATCTCTTCTAATTTTCATTAGGAAAGCAAGCCCAAAGCAAATAACAATAATAAAGGCTTATACATGTACAGTCTCATTTTTTAAAAGTAATTAGTAGCTCCTAGTCACAAACCAAACAACAAAATTTTATCACCTCTCAGGCACCTTGAGTATGTTGAATAGGTGTCTCTGCAGTGTAATAGTGCATGCAAAGTGACTGAGATTAACTTTATAATAGTGCTTTTTGTGTTGTAGATGGAAATAAAGTTCAATACATGTTCCATATCTCAGCTTAGTATTTCTGTATTTGAAGCAGGTATGTTGGGACCCATATTCAGAAACAAAAACGCCTTAGATGGTTTTCAGATTCCTTTCAATTTCAAATCTAATCTTGCAACCCTCTCATGTCTTAAAGATGAATAACATAATTTGGAAAAAAAATGAAGATGAGTGGAAACAGATATATGTTGTGCCTTCAGCTGACAGTCAGAGACTCAAATACCAGGAACTATTCTGCTTGGAAGATGTTCTTTGAATATTTTATGTTTGGTTTCTTGATTTGCTGTCTATAGGGATGTCTATATATACAACAATAGTCAGTCAAACAGTGCAGCTTTTTCACCTAGATGGTGAACTGAGACAAGTATTTACTAAGAGCAGACATTCATGCAGGCTAGAAGCTCTTCAAAACATTAAAATATAAATCAATGCAATTTCCTAATGAAGCAAAAAATATTTCTGCTCTTGTTCAGCACTGAGAAATCAGGTGTAAAAAGAAATGCTACAGGAATGGCTAGAATAGATCTAGGAACAGATGCTAGCCCTTCCAAATCGAGGCTATGTTCAACACACATCTTCCTTTCTAAAAATTGTCTGCATTTTTTTTAATCCAGCTACTGTGAGCACTGCTGATATTTTAGTTCATTATTTTGCTCTCTCTTCCCTTTTTTGAGTTGCTCTTTCACAAGAGTAAGATTTTCTCCTAAGGTTGTATGATAAAAACTTCTTTCGTATGGTTTTTATGAAATCATAGGATTTGAATAAAGCATACTTGTGTAGTTCCATGGAGCCCATGCAAAAAAAACTGTTCAAGAGCTGTGTACCATTGTAAAGTAGAGTCAAGACTGGTTGTAAAGAAGGAACTGTCTCAGCCTAGAAGTAACTGTCTCAGCCTAGAAGTACCTCTTCCGTGTTGTAGATGACACTCTGAAGCATCATGAGTTATTGTAAACTCACTGTGTCATAGCTTACATGCAAACAGTGAAAATCACGACACATGTTAGCACCTTTAGTGGAGAAGGCCAGAGGTCTTGATGTATAATTAGAGCTGATCTGCTGCCTGTGTATTTTGGTATTGCTAAAAATAAGTTGTGGCTCACCATCAATGTAGGAAGTAACAGTTCCAATTTGAAAAAAAAAAAAAAGAAAAAAAAGATTCTAGAAGCACAGGAATGATAAATTGCTTCCCTCTAGAGTTGTCCTGGTACAATGCAAGTGCTTTCCTCTTCTCCTACCTTGTTTTTCATTCACTATTGTGTATAGAGTTCTGGAAATGTAAATAAAATATCCTGACCAGTAGCAGGATGTGGCTGATTTTTAGGGGAATTGTCTTATTAACACTAGGTTTCAGTGACTTCGTGATTTTTTTTTTCTTTTTGTTGATAAAGCCCACATTTCTTTTAAGAGTTTTCTTTGTATCATTTTTTTTCATTCAAAAAAAAAATAGCAGTTACTCTTTGGCAAAAAAGAAACCAACTTCTTGCCTGAAATTCAATCTTCCTCTGTACCAACAGTGTAAAATGGATCTCTACACAAATCAAGGCTGGTGGGATTCAATTTACTTTCAGCTTGCTTCTCTGTTTGTCTGTCCTTGACCTTACTGTGATTTTCCATGGTGGCCTTGTGTTCAAGAGCAAAACTCTTAACAATGAAAATGAGACTAGATTTGCCACATGAAGGAGCTTGGCATTCCCAGCATTGCAGTGCTACTTCACTAGGCTCTTCCTGCTGCTTTTTTAAAATTAAATTAACTTTTTGATGACAGCCTCGCAGGAGTATAGTTCAGTTAATTTTATCAAGAAAGTCTGCAAGTGGTATGTGATAGACATAGGATGGTACTGGGTGCGTCTTCTCAGCAAGGTTCTTCTGTTAGAAAAGGATGTTACCAGCTTTCTCACATACCAAAAACTTTCCAGGTCTCTTCTTGTTTGCCTCTGATATATGGAATTGGTGGGATTTTTTTTACCTTGTTCAGGGATTTTCTGCTGTTGTACTCAACATCCTATGCTGTACTAGATTTATGAGAGCATACATGGCAAATAATTTTAGTTCCTTCCTTTTTAGAAGCCCTCTAAAGACAGACAACATTCTTATATATTTTTAGCTGGTTTTCCTGCCTTCTGAGCATCCCTTTTTAGTCATTCTTCATAGTTTGTGTTTCGGTAAACTGGCTGCTGTGAATATGAAGCTAAATTTTACTGAGAAAAGTTATGAGCAAATCTCATGGTTCCAAGCCTAAAGCATGGAAACCTATAGAAAATATCATAATATAAATAATAACCATAGTGTTTATTTTGCATATCTTTTTCACAATCACATAATTTCATCTGTTTTATTCTGTGAACACTATTTTATTTAACAATATATCTTTTATGAGTTTATCTCCACATTTTACTCCATTATTTTTCCCATTTGTCGTATGCAACGATACAGGATTCTCAAAATAAAAACATGACCCATATGAAGACCAGATTTTATCTGTGTAAGTGATAGCAAGCTAAGTGTTTGTGGTTTTCTTTGCTGTGCAGATGATGTGCTTTTCAGACTTTTTTGTAATATATTGATTTTAGTGAAATACTAAAAATTCAGTAACTTTCCCATTAAGAAAATTTTACTACTAGAGCTTGAGGGTTGAATTTTGATCTTCTTATGTACATTATTGAAAAGTTAATCTCCTTGGAATTATTCTTTTGACTAATTACCCAAAATATGAATACATTTTTCAAAACCCCAATATAAATTTGCAGTACGTTTTGCTGTAACCCCAAAATGTTCTGCTGTAACCCCAAAGATTTGTTATGTTATCAGAACACTTCTGACATGGTTTATAGAAGACTTGACTCTGCAAATACTAAGCATAAAATTTCCAAAGTGAATTCAGTGGTTTAGTATATGATGCCTGGCTCTATATCAAGCGTCTGCCTCACTCCTGAGACGAACAATTAAAAAAGTGGGTTTTTTTTCATTATTTTTCAGCCTGTTTATTAAACCTCCAGTCTTATCTTCTGGAATTAATTATTGTCAATCACTTTGTCATCTCCTTCATTAGAAAAGGTGTGGAAGTAAATTTACCCTGAATTTTTATTATCCCAGGATGATATTTGAAAATGTGAGGTATATTTTCACTCGAAACCAGTTAGTCTAAATGCCTTCTCATGTATATAATATATATGTAATATTAATATAAAATACTAATATTTTATATATAACAAATAAGTATTATATATAATTATATATAACCATATAATATTATATATATATATATTTAATGACAGAGTCGAGAAAATCTTTTTGAATTGCCAAAGCACATTCACAAAATTAGTGCCAATTTGAGTCTCAACATCTATTTGCTACCACATGGGGACTGTCTATAGTCATATTCCAAGATGATGCCTGGCTAGGAAATGTCTAATATTTAAAATGGTTTGTTTTCTTGCAATTTTGGTTAGGGTGCATGTTTTTGGTCTTGCAAAAGTTTTTCAATTTCATGCAACCTTGACTGCGGGCACTGCATGTTAAGTTTGAATCAAAGAAAGTCACCTTCTAACTTGTTTATACAGGTAAGTTGAAGCCGTTGGAAACATAATGTTCAAAGATTTTGTCAGTGTGAAGTGAAAGGACTTTGCTTATGTTTTGTGCCATTTAAACAATATTTGCTGAGTGCCACATCAAATCATCTTGTTTAAGTAGACTATCTATTGCCTTTGTTAAAAAATGAGTGCTTGATCTGGTGCTGTTTTGCTGTCTTAGGAATGCAGGTGCTGGAATGGAATAGCATCCCATTGACTGGAAAAACTTATGAAGAAGTCCAAAGTATTATTATTCAACAGAGTGGGGAAGCAGAAATATGTGTAAGACTGTGAGTTTTTCCCCATCTTTCTGTTTCCATTTTTTTGGCTTTTCATGGCTTTTTATTTATTTACAGTTGTTAAGGTGGAACCTTTGTTACTCTGAACACCAATGGACTAATTAGCAAAAGAGTTCAGCATGAGTTTAGGAGGTCTATGTGTTTGTCTTTTTTTTTTTTCCTTTAAAGTCATAAGGAAATATAAATTGAGGTGTATTTTACTAATTATACTTTTATAGACAAGGTTTTCTCCATTTTCAGGCCACAGTCTCCTCTCATTAACGCAAAATTTGCTGAATTTATTGGGGCTGGCCGTTGAGAGAAGATGATATTTTTGCACTAACTTGATTTTTATTGAAATATGTTGCCTTTAGATGAAAGTCATTTAAGCATCATGAGAAGTGTATGTACTCCAGTACAAAGTCACATTCAATCCATTAAAGATTTCACCTTAAAAGAACCTTTTTTCCTCAGCTCTTTTGACTTTAACAACATTGCTAATATATATATATATATTTATATCTCAGCTAAGAAGGGGCCATGCTTGGGAGCTGCTTTCTGTCATGAACCACTATTCATTTATCTACTTAATATAATAATGAGGGTATGAGGAAAGAGTTTCTTTTGTCTCAGGCTTCCCATTGCTCTCTTTAGGGACCTCAACATGCTTTCAGATTCTGAGAATCCTCAGCACCTGGAACTCCATGACCCAGTGAAGGCGGGTAAGTGAGGAGCCTTGCTTTGGTATTTGAGGACCGGAAAGCAGCTGAAAATTGGATATCGTATAGGCCAGGATTCTAGTGCTATAAACTCAAGCATTTCCTTCGAAATCTTGTTATGGGAGAAAAAAAAAGGGGACCACACTTTATATATATATATAAAGCCAAAAATTTGTTATTGGTCTAATTTAAAGTCTTAATGACATGCCAAAATACAACTAAGAGTTTTTATTAGTAGTCCAAATACATTGATACTGACACCATCCAAATCACCTAATTAATACCAAGGAAATCTCAGTAGCAATACTGGAGCTAACATCTGTTATCCAGGGAAAACCTTCTGATAGCTACCTTTTATTTTTTCTTCTGTGCTGTTTTTTTCCCCCTTCCACTGCTTTTTCGAGCAATGCTGTCAGTCTGGAGCGTGGCAGCAAATTGACAGTGTCCCAGGGAACTGGCTGGAAGGAGCACAATGTTTGGGGGGAGAGTTTCCTCCTCCTCCTTGCTGGGAAGTGCATGATGTTAATGATTCCTTCCTCTCCACTTCAGGGTCTTCTCGAGGCCATTTTTAACATGTTTTCTAGCATGCTTCACACACTGCTCTTTCTTCACTGGCTTGCAACTCTATATTGCGTGTGACTTTTCTGTATGTTGTACACTTTACATATGTAAGATAAATGTTTTTTGTTCATTTTGTTGCTCCTAAGATATATTTTGCCAAGCTCCTAAGTTTTGATTAGTGACGGTAACTGACTACTAAGCTGCTGGTAACCCTGGAGCCTCAGTTATCATTCCATGCCCAAACTTCCAAGGACTCTATCCTCATCCCAGGCTTGTGCTGCTATAAGCTGCATAGTCTAGAGTCATAAATAATTCATTCTACACCACATAATTATTACTTGTTATTCCTATAGGTGGATATATGAAAATTATTAACAATAGGCCTCTATGACACAATTGCACAGAGTGAAGCATAACCAAGACAAATGAAGTCATAGTCATTATGCATTTGCTGTTGCATCTAAACAGCCTAAACCCCTCAAGAATCTGAAGCAAGTCCAGACAAATCCTGACAAGCCCTGAGGCCTGTGTTAGCTTAATACAGAGCCTGTGGCCTCTTTCTAGTGATGATAACACTGCTCCTACTAGAATACGGGCTGCGATAGCAGGATACTTTGTGTGAAGTTCTGTTATGTGACTTCTAAGATAACAGCTGTTTTGCGGAGGACGGTTCCATTCTGTTCAGTCGGTACCATGACTTCAGGCTGTATAGTCAGGCCTAATATAACTTTAAACCAACATCCACAATGTCACACAGGCCTTTACGCAGTTGCTCTACCCACTTCCTGGGGCTCCGTGCTGGAGTCTGTGGTTTTGTGGCTGCACTTTCATGGAGCACCTCACATCTATTAGCATCTTTATAGTGAAATTACCTTTTGATGAAAAATGATATTATTGAAAAATGATATTATTAGTTGCAAATGAATACTGTGTCTGACAGAGCTTTGAGATAGGTCTGAGGTTTTGCTTCTCTTTGGTTTGTTTATTCCCTTTGAAAAGGAGCAGTTTCCCTTCCTCTAAACCTAATCCAGCCCAGCAGCCAAGAAAAGGCTAACATAATTGCCTTCCCCTCTGCTGCCCAGACTGTAAAGAATTTAAGTCTCTGGGAAAGGAATAATACACAGTAAGCTACAAACAAACAAACTGACATTTGTTGTCACAACAGTGAATTAGGAGCAGGAATATGTAGAATTTTTATTTTACCTGATCTGTAGAAGAACCAGATCAATGACTGCAGTAAAACCTTAAACCTCTTATACTTTTGAGACTCTATAATGCAGACTGAGCTTAACATCATTTTAGATCTAAGCACTTCAAAGCACCTAAGAAACTTGGGTTCATTTGTCTATTAAAAGGAAGGGGACGGTCAGCTATAGGCTAAACTATCCCCCCTCATTTCATACACAGATGCCACGTGCAAGGGTGTATAATAAGGAAAGGTGAATATGGATTGTGGTTCTGCCTTTGCATTCATTTTGTTCTGTTTAAAGTTCTAAAGTTTTAAAGTCTATTTTCTATAAACTATCTCAATTCAATTTTATTGAATAGCCATTTTACTCAAGAAAAAGCTGAGGTTAAAACTTACTCTAGCAAAGTTCAGACATTTGATGAAGCAAGAGCAGTTCTCAGTAATGAAGTGAAGCACAAGCCAGACGTTAACAGTGTCATTTGCTCCAGGATGATTCAGTGTGATCAGCCAAGGCTTAATTTACTTCAGGTAGGAAGTAATCTCTGCAGAAAACTTGTGAGAGAGATAGTACTAATTGATTCAACAGAGTAAAAATGTTAAATTTAGGATGTTGAAATCGTGTGGGGGGATGCCTCTGTTTTCATAGACTGGCTTTTGAATCTTTAAATTATACAAGAAAATGTATGAAAATTTGTAAAGATCAATATACTGCTTCTATACATTGACAAGATAGAGCTGAATGTGATAGCAGTTATCAAAGCAAAACTCTTTTACTTAAATCCAGTAGATAAAGCAAAGTCCCCAGGAGTTGATCCTAAGCAACTGGCTGCAGAGCTCCAAAAGGTTTCTCTACAGCAGGCCCCCTTGCTTGCTTCCTCAGGAGTGGAAAAGGGTTCTCATGTCCACTCTGGAACCACTTCTGCTGCCTCCAGCGCTGTTCCTAGCCCTGGCCAGCCTGGTTCTCCCTCAGTGAGCAAAAAGCGGCATAGCAGTAAGGTAAGGAACTTCTGAGTTATGCAAAATATCATCTGATCATAAGAATAACTACCAGATGAATATCTTGCTTAACGTGGCAAGAGATCACAGTATGTTTTCACAAATCCATTTCTGACAGTGAGGAGTGTTACTGTTAAGTTATGCCATTTGGAAGTAAGGAAGTTAGGCAATTTATCCAAGGTCATGCAAGATTGGATGCTCTTTGAAAATAGATTCCTTGAACTTAATATTACTCTTGTAAAGTGAAATAATTTCCCTTTTCAGTCTTTATTTTGATTTTGAACTTTCTTCTGCGTTATGGGTGAGGTACTAATTACACAGAAAACGCATGCGTTGGTAAAACTGATATTTACTCCTGTGTAATAAGCTACTTTTGAAGTGCTACAAGACATGCTTTATCATAGCAGTATTAAGCATTTCTCTGAAAGTCAGGAGAAGAGTGAATTTGCCATCAAAATGTGTTTTCTCACTATGTAACTCCTATGAACTTGTTAACTTTAGTTTCACATTTTCCTTGCCACATTCTGTCCATATTTCATTTGAATTTCTTTTTGCTTTATTTATTTCTGAAAATTATAATGAGAGGCATTCGTTTTATAAAAAACATTCCTGTTCTTGACTTGTACAGCTTCTGTTCATTGAAGCCATGCCAAGTTCATAATGGGGTTGAGATCTCTTAGAAAAGAAAGTGACTGCTCATCCTCTTTCAAAAGCCTCTCTACCTTGGCCTGACAGCATTTCTTGTCAGGCTGCAACACTGATACTTTACATTTGTCAAAGTTTTATGACAGAATAAATATCCAAACTGCCAACAGTAGCTTTTGCTACTGATCATATTTTTTAGCTGATAAAATCCTCTTTCTAAAGCTTTTTGAATAGGAAGTGCACTCCAGAAATTGTTGTAGGAGTCTTTGATGTTCTGCAGTGCGGACTGGCACATCAAATGCCTCGTCCCATCAAAGGTATAGAGATGGAACTCTATACAATCTCTATGGTAGCACCAGAATCTGGCATTAAGTTTCCCCATCAACCTTTGCCATCAGATGTGAAAGGCACCATTGTAGAGCACCAGCTATTATATGGGGGAGCAAAGAAGAAAATAATATCAAAATAAATTAGGTTCTGCATCACAGAGGACACAATCCTTGGGAGTGAGCAAGCTGTATGATTTGCAGATTTGTTCGTTTTGCAATGCAAATGCAAGGTCACTCTACAGTCCAGATTACATCCTAGATATTTAATGTCCTCTAGAAACCTTTAATTGTCTTTTCATATTGACAAAGGATGGGCTGCTTTTCTAAACCTTTAAATCCTCTGGCTCCCAGGGAAGCCAGAAGATAACTGTTTTTCCTTCTTTTCAAGTTAATCTTTACTGAGACCTTGATTCATAAAGATACTTAATTGCATGGCTGAGTTTACATCCAAACCCCACTTCAAACCTGGCTCTGGGCTGAGCTGTGGATTGGCCCAGATAACCTGCAGATGTCCCTTCCTGCCTAAACTATTCTTATTCTCCTTGGTCAGTATTACATCAGCTGACATCAGAGAAAACACAAACCATTTAACATGTTGGATCACAGCCTTATAAATAAGTATGGAGCTCTAAAGCTTAAAAGCTTTTAAACTAATCATTTATGATCTATTATATAAACATTGCCAGCTTAGTGATGTTCGCAGACTTTTAGATGGGTTTGCAAGGCACCAAAGGAAAATGGATTTTTTTTTTCATTAGAATTACTTTTGAGAGGCACATATAGTTTCAGCAAAGTCAACTTAAATTTTTTCTTCCGATAAATCTGTTGTTCTTAAGGAAACACAACTGGAATGTGAGATAATGCATGTAAAGCAAATATACAAAAATAAGGCCACACAGGACAGTAAATATGAGTATAGATATGGAATATGAAATGAGCTTCATCTGGGACTTTTGTTGTGTAACTCAGTGATGCATTTTGAGGAGACAGTCTGGCTTCAGGGACATTCATATGAGTAACGGGCAGATTTTGACTGTCTCCCTTGCTTTGTGCTGCAGAAGCATTTGTTTAAGATTTTTTTCTGGTTAGTTTTGGTCCTTCTCAGATCTGAATGACTAAGGGACTGTATCTTCATAGCAAACCTGAAATAGGTAGTATGCCACCTTGAATTCAACAGGCTGTTGCCCAGGAGGTGCATGGCCCGTATTAGTCTAATTCATCTGACACCCTGAGAAAATCTGTACATTTTGGAGGGATGGGGACACAAACCAGATAGGTTTTACTGTTCTCAGAAAGTGCAAGAAATCCTAATGTCCGAGAATAGTCTGGTAGGCTGCTGTTCACATCTGTCAAAGCAGGAAAGGATGGTTTCTAGATCAGCATTCAGAGAACAGTAAGTTTATTCTTGTTTGCATCCTTTGTTTTCCACTGCATCAACCAAGAAGGGCGTGTGGTGAGAATGCAAAAATATTCAAATCTTGCTGCAGAACCAAAGAGCTTTCTTGCTTGAGGGATGGTTTTCAGATTAGAGATAGGGTGTCTCAAGGGCGCCACCATTCAACAGAAAGATCAGCTTTTATTGAGAGTCCAGGATCATATGAAAGGAGTCTAATGAGTCCAGCACCTTGTGAAATTATGCTTCAACTATTAACAAAACATGAGGTAAGGAAGGAAAAAAAAAGAATGAAAAGACATCTAAGGGTTTTGTCGCTTTTGTCAACAATTCCAAAAAAACAGAATATGCAAGAACAGACAATATTTTATAGAGTTGTGAAGGGGAAGAAATAAAATTAAATTCATGTAAATTCAATTAAATTTCATGCAATAGTAGATGGAAAACCTGTGGAAGGATTAAAGATGAAATAATGTATTTGAACTAATTATCAAAAAGCAAGAAGCATTATAAAGAGCTGGTATGGAATTATTATATCCAGTTATAATTGCCACCTGCTTTAGTGTCATTCTTTCCTTTCTTTCTGAACACACACTCACCTAAACTTGATTTAAACTATTCTAACCCATGTCCTTCAGTAGAAAACATGCCTGTACTGTGCCTGACCTGTTACTTGGTTTCACTTTACAACTTTCAGTTTTGTAAGACTGGGATAATGCTGGGTTTCTCCGTGCCCAAGGCTCCCTGTATGACCAATGTGTTACAGAGAGTGTACAGATGTTGATGCCCAGCGTGTCTGATTCTGTTCTCTTAGAGGCCTACGTAAATGGCTGGAATCAAATCTTTAAGTATTATTGAAATACCATAATTGATACAACTGAACATACAAATTAGAGACAGTGGAATCATTTTTGAAAATAAATGATATTGGAGCAATGTAAACCATACTTGTTAAAAATGATAACTTAGATAACCTGTTATTTCCAAAATGCATAGAGGATTTTTGTGATGTTTTCCTATGTATTTATTTATGTATTTTAATTTGGCAGCCTGCTGAAGCTACAAAGTCTGCTTCCCATCCAATCACTGGAGAAATTCAGGTAGTTATTTCAAGTAGTTATTTCTATGTGAATTATTGTTGCTCCTGGTGGTGTTTCCATTGAATAAGTTTTCTGAAAACAACCTCCATTAAGTGATTTCTTGTTCAGCTCCAACCTCTTGAAGTGTCATTAAGTGAAAATAACACTGACACTGCTAGATTTTCACATTTGTCTTTAACATCGGTATATGAAATACAAATAGAAGAAAGGAAAATGCAGCTGTTTCTGAAAGAATTAAAATACTTCAATATAATCTTTAGCCTTTGGGCAATTATTGTGTGTTACTTCTGAAATGCTGAGACTTTCTACCCAAAAGCCAACATAATGCAGTGTATTCTTTTCAAAATAATGCCAAACTTGTGATTAGCTCTTTTGTAAATTGAGTTCACTTATTACATTTTTTTAAGTGGAATGTGAGCAGCAGATCAAAAGAAATGCAATTTCCTATAGATTTCTGTCCTTCGCTTTCCTAGTTCATTTCTCACTCTTTTACTGATAATTAAGGATCCTTCCATACTACAAAAACATTTTCCCATGGCTTGAGCTAGCAGGAATTTAGAGTTTGTGTAATTCCTATTTAGTTGACTATTTCATAGCAGAATATTAAGTGCTAGAATTTCATCTTTTTTACTTGTTTGTTTAAGACAAATATGGTTGTGTGCTTCTTCTTTTTTAATAAAACCTGTAGAATTTGAAGAAGAAATCATCTCAATATCTGACATAATTATCTAGTTTCCCATTATATTCAGTAGGAAGTGACAAAAACTTCTAAGATGCAGTCATTTCCACCCAAAATTAAAGATCCAAACCTCACTTTTTTGGATTTTGAGGATTTTAAGAGAAGTTGAATCGTTTAGGAAGTAATGCTTAAAAAGAAAAATCTAACTGAATTTTAATGCCTTCTCTAGCTTCAAGTCAACTATGACAAACACCTTGGCAACCTTATCATCCACATCCTTCAAGCAAGAAACCTGGCTCCCCGAGACAACAACGGCTATTCTGACCCTTTTGTTAAAGTTTACCTTCTGCCAGGAAGAGGGTAAGTGCAGGAGAAATTTCAACCCAAACTTCCTTTCTTTTAATTTGTGTTTGTTACTTTTCAGTAATAAACAGAACAGACAGTATAAAAAATGTAAGTATATGACCAGGAAAAATGGTGGATTTTTAATGAGTTATTCAAAATTAAGAACTGGATCCTAATCTCAGGATAAAGTGCATATTTTCTTAGTTGCTTCAGAGGCATGATAATCTTTTTTTTTTTTTTTAATCTTATTTTAAAATTGTAATGCATTCAAAAATACAAACTGAAAGAATAGAGTTTGCTGAAACATACCAAATATATGGACTTATATATGTAAGCTCTTATTAATCTGTCTTTAATGAATATTGAATTGCCTGGATTCTGAGGCTAATAGTGACTTGTCCTGTGTTATTATAATATAGGAAGCTATAAGATAAGGTTAAAATTCAGTTGCTGCTTTAACTCAGATATTCTGAATTTGAGACAGATTTGCAAACATGCACAGTCCCAGGACCTGAATTTGATACAAGATTACCATCTAATATTAAAGGTCAGAAATATTAGATAGAAGACATTCATTCCATGGATTTTTTTTTGGTTGGTTGGTTGGAGTTAGTTTGGTTTAAACTTTAATAGCTAAGAAAGAGTTTTAGTAATTTCAGAAATTTTGTATTTAGTGACTATACAAATCACTAACCATTTTTTCACAGAACATTTCTTTCTAAGCTCTGACAATAATTATAAATAACTGAGCATTTTTCCTTTAAAAATATGCTTCTATATTATTGATATTATAGCTTTCCCTTGCTCTGAAGTTGCAAGGTGTCATACGCGTAACTATGCACATAGTTATAGTAATTCTGCTGACTTCAGTGATACAATAGATATATCTAAAGCTAAGTTGATAGATCAATCCTTAGTTTGCAAAGACAAATTCCAAAAAAACTTTCTGTTTGTGCAGTTCTAAAAGACTCTTAAACTTGGTTGTGTTATTAAAAAAAATGTATTTCTGGCCTCATTGAAGGTAACAGGAAAGTGAATGCTATGGTCACAGTTCAGCATGTGGTATTAGGACAAGTAGAGATAAGAGCAGTTGGATGCAACAACTAAAGACATGTGGTCTTATTATCATTAGAACATGCTAATTCAAACTGTACAGGATTCAATATTGTTCATTGGCATTGATCCCAAAACTATCACTGAGTGTAATGGCACAGGTTAGGACCTGTTCCAAAATGGCAGTTTATGGTAGGCAGATAGCATACTCAATTATTAAAAAAAAGGAGACTTCTCCATGCACTTAAGAGTCTTGTCTAATTCTCAAATACTTAAAGTCCTCCAGTAAGATTGATTTCATTACAAGTACATGCACTTATGTAGAAATGAGGTTTGAGCTACAGACATGTCCATCCTCTAGAGTTCTATGCTATACCGTAATATAGGTTCATGGAGCCAAATTATGAAGAATTTGGATTTTACTTTTATTACCATTCATTTTAAAATTGACAATGTTCCTGTCTCACAAGTAACTTGGTGCTTTAGAGAAGCATGAGAATGAAGAGCTTCTCAAAAATGCAAAGCTTTTTTGGGAAACCAGGAACTTAAGTGCTCATAAATAGCTTTTCAATTTGGTTCGATCCACATTAGGTTGCTTATTTTTTCTAATGCTTCTCTTTCCTCTGGTTGGATACTGGAAACTACCTACTATTCATATGTTTTCTTTCATCTCTGTCTCTTCTCATTTTTTCTTCCTGATGCTTCTTCTGTGTTCCTAACTATTTAACGCTGTGGGGGATGCAGACAAGTCATGGTTGTCCAAAATGCAAGGTAGAGTGTACTGTCTTTCAATTTTACGCTTTAATTTTTATATGTATCAGGATGTTATGATAAGCCTATGCATTGAAGCATAGATTTCTCTTGAGTTTTGATGACACATGATTTCAGCAGAGTTTTACTGCTTATCCTTTAGTCAATCTCATTTTCAGATCAAAAGGAATCAGTAACAAATAACTAATATTCCTTGATGAATTAATACTCTAGCTGGAAGTCTGGAAGAATTTAATTCAATAAGAAACATCTAATATCGGTCCTTACTCATTGAAATTTGTAAAGTAATTATCTATGAATTTGCTTCATGAATTTGAATGGTGCCAAGAGAAATGGATGCTATTTGGAACTGAGCCTGAGTATTTTTCTCTCTACATGTTACACAACATCTTGGCATAAAACTGAGCAACATTTTATATAATCACTCAAGCAAATTTAAGCTGGTTGACCATATAAAAAGACATTTGATGTATAAAACTGTTTAGTTACTAGAATTACTCGTACTTCTTTGTGCTGAGCTGGAAACATAAGACAAAATTCTGTTCTCTAGAAATGCTCATGTCAATCCAGGGTAAGTACATGGTAATAGAATTTCAGGCCTATAATTCTACACTTGTGTTAAAAGAGAAGCCTTTTCAATCTGATCAACAGGAGATATGCAAGACTTTTTAATAAATAGATTTACTCTAACATCATCCTGTTTCATAATTAATAAATTATTAAAGGAATGTGTTTAAATGACACATTTTACATGTGGTTATTCTCTAGGTTTTGTTTTTTCATTGTATTTTCAGTTGTACTGTGTGTCAGTTATAATTTGAGAAGCACAGAAAAATGATATAGAGTAGTGCAGTTTCCATCTCTTCACACATGGCATAGTTTATAAATTTCCAATGTGAATTATTTCATAACTAAGTATGCATTAGCTTTAATGAATGTGTTTTAATAAAGCCTTACCAATCACAGTCCAGACAAGTATGTGTGCCGGTAGGATAGACTTAATACATTTGCCAAATCTTTCCCTTCAAACTTTTAAGGTTCTGGCCTGTTGTCCAGCTTAGTCTAGGTCTGGGCTGCCTTAGGGGAGGCGAGGGTGTCCTGCTTAGCTCTGCCCTATGGACTTCCTTGGGAATACTCCAGAGTTAAAAAGTTAACAGCCTCTGCCAGCTCTACAGCTCAGCACTGCATGAGTCACCTTCTCATGTATCTCCAGAAAGAATCAGAAGCTTTGAAAGGTGATGAAGGTGTAATATTGCCAAAGAAATTGAGGACAAGAATGAGAATGTTGTAGTGTTTGTTTGTTTGGCGGACACCGAGGAGCAAGGAAGCAGGAACACCTACAGCACATGGCATAGGGTCGCACGCCACACTTGGCAGAGGTTCACACTGGAAAACTCAGGGCATATGATTTCAACATGTCCAAATGGAAGCTTTATTTGGGAAATTTTAACCATTTGATCAAGGCATGTTTCAAAGAATAGATCTTTCAATGCAAACCAAGTGGATAAAGGGAGTATAAAATATCTTCTCTCCTTGTGAACCAATATTTTTAATAAATATTGACCAGTTAAATAATTGGAAGGAGCTATAAAAGCAGGTAATTACATTTAAAAATAGTTCCAAAGACACATTAGCGAGAACACAGTCAGGAAAAGTAACTTTTTGGCAAAAGAATGAACTAGATGGCATAACTTCCGACATTTTCTAAGTAGTTTCTGAAATATCCCATGAATGTCAGCAGACTAACTTAGATGTATTAGTTTCATGGACACTTTCCAATCAATCCAACTATTTAAGCAATCTAAAATATATACTGTATAAAGGATGGAATTTCTAAAATATAGGGGTTGTTATTTGGATTTTTTGTGGTCAGTTTTGTTATGTATTGACTAATACTAAAAAAAAAAAAGATACTCTGAAAAAAGATAGATAAAGAAAACCAGAACCAGACAAAATAATACTTTAAATGGTGTTTAATTCTTGTGGCAGTGTGTAACAAATGCCTCGTTACATAAACAATATTGTTAATTTTAGTGAAACACTTCTGAAGTGTTTAGCAAGTTAAGCCACCATATCCAATGCTGTAATTCTGTAGGTATACAAAGTAGGACAGTCCCTGAAGAATTAGAAAAGAGAGAAAACCAAAAGTAAATATTAACCTTCAATGTATTTCTTTACCTTTTTCCTTTTTTAATTTTTTTTTTTTTCAAAATTGTGCTGTAGGATTGTTTAGTGGAGCAGATGGTGGTCATTCCGTGCCATTTGGCCTTAGTACTAAAGAACAGTCCTGAGCACATTTAATTCGATGGTAGATGTAACATCTATGTCTTTTAATGTGTGGAAAGTTTGAACAGAAGTCTAAGGGCAGTTAACTTGCACAGTGGGAGAAAAAAAGATTCTTCATATCTGCAGGATTTTCAAAGTATTAAAAGCTTTTCATGTTCTCCTACCCAACCTTTCATGATCTCCATTAAAATTTATATTAAATTAAAATTGGAATGGAAGCAAATCTTACATCAAAGCTCATAGCTCTAGATGGATCCATGTTCTATTAAAGGCTAGTGCATTGGTTTACCCATATTGAGGAAATGCAAAGTATAACAGCATGTACAATCAGTTACTTTTATAAATAGATTATATAGACAAACTTTTTACTCTTGGCTATTGATGAAAACAATCATGAAACTGATGCACTTTATGCTTCTTTACAGTACAGTTTGATGCAGATCTGAAGAGTAAGATCAATAAGAAATTAATGCTTATATCATTAAAAGGACATTAGTTACTCTGTGGCCTTCACTAAACATTGTTGTCAGATAAAATTGCTATAATCAGAGAATGCAAACTATAAATATAATGGATGCATGCTACCTCAATGTGCTAATAGGAGGATTGTCTTGGAAAAGAAAACAATGCATTATCGCTTTCTTTTATAATCACAGCACACCTCCTTCAGTGCAAAAACAAAGCATGCGTGCACGTGCTGACTGATGCTTTAGGTAGAAACTCTTGTGGACAGAGACAACCTGCTGAAGAGTCATAGGATGAAGTTTTAAAAGCCCAAGTCAGGAAAGCATATTAAATGTAAAAATACCCTTGGGCCGTCTTTGTCCTCACATAGCTCTGTGCTCTTGCAGAACTGAGGAACTGAGTTCCTTTCTTTCTCTCTATCTTTTATTTTTCTTCTTTTTTTTTTCTTTTTTTACATTAGAAGAAGAAAGAAACAAAAAAATCACTAATGTAATGTTTCCTTCCTTTGTTCAAATTCAGTGCTGAGTACAAGCGGAGGACTAAATATGTGCAGAAGAGCTTGAATCCTGAGTGGAATCAGACAGTCATTTATAAGAATATCTCCATGGAGCAGGTATGTGAGTGTTAGTACTAGTCAGTGTGATGTGCTGCTTTCTTGTAGTGCTCATGGTGGTGGGAGCAGCGGCACTGGCTGTGAACTCTTGACAAATTTAGGGAAAATTTGGAATTATGTCCTTGGCTTAATAGGGTTTACTATATCAATACTCTTGTATTAACCCTTTTGCTCATAAAAATGGTAATTCATGAAGTTGAAGGAAGTTCAGAAGGTACCAAGTATGAATTTTCTTAACTAGCCCCATACAGTTCCTCAACCATTACACATGCAACAACTTCTAACCATGCAGATACAATAGGGAAACACCCCAAAAGAATGCGATTACTTTTGCATGAACAGTACTGCTCTACTGTTACTAGTCCGGTGAGTGCCTTTATACGTGTGTCAGACAAACAGTGACTACTTTTCAGACCAGGAAGTGAATCACTACTAACTTTTTCTCCTCTCTGCTAACTGTGGTTCAAAGGCAAAGGAAGCATATCTCCCTTCAAAATAATCACAGGATTATGCCCTGAGATTTTTGTCAGAATTCCTCAGATTTGTGGGCATAGTCTCAGGATCCTACTATTCATAATTATGTCAGATGTGGCAACTCTAAAAATGATAATGGCATACAGGAAGGGAGTAAATCAAGACACAAGGAGTTTCGAAAGCAGATGGAGAGAGAATCATTCTTGGTTCCAGAAGTCATGCAAATTTACTCAGCATACAAGTTCTACAATTTTATTGTTCAAAAACATTTGTGAAGTGTAGTGATACATACTTAAATGCGGCAGAAATATTTAGTAATTGGCTTGAAATACAAATCACCTAAAACAAACAAACAAAAACAGAAGAAAATTAATTTCCTTGTTATATAAAGAATTCACTCACATTTGGGAAGAAGGTCTATGAACATCTTCTCTGCCCGTTTCTTTGTGACTCACTAAATCTAATTAAGTTATGTGGTGTTAACTGAGGCAGTAGGTATCAATTTCAGTCTTCTTTCTCTCCATTTCCATTTTAAAGATTTTTTTACCATTTAACGAGGCAAAATGATGGTCAGGCTTTTTGTTTTAATTGAGTACTGGATCTTCATACAGTCCCTCATCTTTCTGACTGTCTTATTATTTTGTTCTTGAAACTTTCAACTTTATTTTTCAAGGCCATCTAATCTTTCAGTGCTTCATAAAAGATCCTGCAATGACCAGAATTTTGAATGACCAAATTTTTCAATGTCTTCAGTGTACTTCTCCAGCATGACACCAAGACCTCAATATTATCTTCCTAACTCAAAACGTTAGTTATTCATTCTTTTTGTTCAGCAAGGGCAGCATAGTTTAAGATGCTTGCTCTTGCAAGGAACAAAACTCTTCTCATGGAGGGACTTGCATGACTGTTCATCTCATCTTCAGCCTTTTGTCTTTGCAGTCACTACCTCAGACTAATTCAGAAGCACTCTGCTATAGGTAGTGGTTATGGTTAACAGGGATTCCGAAGACAGTTATGGTTAGTAGGGTTTCACATATTGTTTCCTGCAAGCTTGCATAAATAGAAGCTCATTGACAGTGAAAGCCTAAGAAATAGAATTCTGAGGTTTGTATGGCTGAAATACAAAACCTAAATCTTCTAGTTTCAGGAGAAAGTTTCATAAGTTTTAATATTTCTGTTCAGCACAGTCTAAGCTTTCAATTTAAAAATGGCTCTTCAATTTACTTAATTTGCTTTCAGATCCTGCTGTGATGTTTCACACAGCTATAGGGTAGAGTGCTTGGACATTCAGTTGCTGTTTGGTCATTTTAAATTAGAGAATGATCTCTAAGTAGTAGTAGACTCCCAATATCTTTGATGTCAGTCTTTTGACCATTGTGTGATGAAATGTAGCCTTTAAGTAACATTGACTTCCTGCTTTCAGTTAGCAAATTCGCTCCTTTTCCCTTCATCTGAGATTTTATACAGTGCTTGTGTTTTTAAGTGTATATGCGTTTTCCAAGCATCATATCTGCTGTGTATTCTGTCCTCTTCCTAGACAGGGAGGCCTGTGCAGGGAATAGCATTTCCTCCCACATTTCATCATATTTTTTATGCAGTGGTTAGACACCTGTGTGAGTGATTCTTCTCCTATTAAATTTGGTGCCCTGGCTCAGAGAAGACAAAATATGTGTCTAAATTGGCAAATTATTCCATGCTGATGATACATATATTCTACAGTTGGAAGAACTATTGGCATGTATTTCTATTGTTTGTACTTAAAACCATCATGAACACATACTTCAAAATAGTTAATAATATGAAAAAAATATATATGTCAATACTCACGATAGACTGAGAATAAATGCTCTGATAACAAATGGACAAAAATGTATACATGAAGTTGTACAGTGATAACAAGCCATTCCCTAACACTGTCATGAATCTTTATAAATGTTATTTCCTAAAAGAAGCATTTCCTTTCCATTCAAAATGCATCTTGCTTTCTGACAGCAAATAACTATTATTAAATATTTTCTAATATAGTCCTTCCACTGTCTAGACTGTGTTGTGGCTGCACAATTTTTCATTTTCGTTTCTGTTTCATAACCTAGCTGAAATTAAACTGAAAATTATTATGAGAAACAGATCACTCTCTGAAATGAAACAGACTTTTTCAAAGTTGGCATGATTGGTTTTATAATGTAGCAGATTTGACTTTTACAGTGGGGGATAAAATAAACTCTGAATATTTAGTAATTTAAGGTTTTTTATTCAATAATAAAGTGGAAATAATTGCAGCTTGAGAGGAAGGCCCAGTACACAGTCTAAATATTGTATAATAATTGCTAACATGTCAACTATCTACTTTAAGTAGGTGATGCATTTGGATGGTTTTAGGAGAGATTCAAAGTTACTAATTACATAAGTATTATGGTTAAAACTTACTAGTACTTTTGCTGTTTCGGTCACTGGTATAATGTATGACCTCAGTATAATTTGTGGCTCTGTTAAACCTCAATTTCTCATTCATGAAACGCCTTATAAAATTATTTCCTCAAGTAAAATATTTTGATAAAGCAGTAGATTTAGTAGAGCATTTTGCTCTCACAAAATATTTTCATGTCTTTCAATAGAAGGTAATGTATTTAAAAAGAATAGTATTTGCAAAAGCCCATGAGTGATTTAGGAGCCAAAGTTCAATTCCTCAAAATAATAAAAATTTTCGTAAGAGACAATGAGCCTGAAGATTACTGAAGATCTTGAGCAATAGAATGTAAGTTCCTAAGTTACCTATTAAAAGTCTCCCAAGTTACCTATCAAAAAAGAAATATAACAATATAGAGATGAGAATAATAAAATGTTAAATGTGAACATAAACACAATACATAATACAACACCTTGCACTTACACCAATACAACACTCATTAAATATATAAACTGAAATTAACAATTGCACTTTTTTATAATATCTGTTTTAGGAGCCAAAGTTCAATTCCTCAACATAATAAAAATTTTCGTAAGATATCTGTGAAGTGGTTACAGAATTTGCTTAGGCATAGGAGAGAAGAAAACTACATTAAAATTTTGTCTTTGCTTCAGTCATATGCTATATGCACTTTTTCAAGGAAAGTTTATTAAATATTTCAAGTGATGTGTTTTATAATTACAAACAGACCTAGTTTATAAGTCACAACGTAGTGGTGTTAAGTTATTCAGATCAAAAAATGGAAGCTTCTGTTATGTATCTTGTTGATGTCCTCATTGAGAGAAGATATTATTCATGATAGCAGGTTCTGAATATTCCTTTGTCTTCTTTAAATATAGATTGTTCATAGCAACCTAAGACTGAGTTCCAATGCAACATGTATTTACTGTTTTTCTCATCAACATGTTCCTGCAATGCAATACCTGAAGCTAGATATAGTTTAGGAACACTTTTTTTCATAACATAGTTTGTTTTCAGCTAATTTCACTACTTTTCATAGTGTGTCAGCTGGGACAAATGGCCTTCCTGCTATGAAGGGCACTTTCTTTTCCCCACAAGCACATTGTCCACTAGCAGAAATCCATTGGCAGGAGTTCATTTCAGAAAAATCATCTGGCAAAAGTTAAATCCCTGATAGGGATCTGATCTTCTGGCTTAATGAGCTAAAATAGAATGACGTAAGGCAGGACCTTGCTTTGTTGTCATAATATAATGGCTACTTTGCAAATTAGTACCTATCAAGCACTCTTTGCATTTAATAGCGGTGCATATATACAGGTTCAGAAAAGCAATTTTCCTCTCATTTGAAGCTCCGTTCATGCGCCCTGCCTCATCAAGCTCTTTTGATGTTTTTTTCATTGTCATAATATTTTATAAGAGCTTTATTAAACTAAGAGGCTTAAAATAGGTATCTCCGAGAAATCTAACTACTGCAAGTTTCAACAGTTTTATTGTCATGCTCATTAAAAAAGCTACTAAAGTAGCAAAGTAGAGTTGCAGACACTTGAAAGTCTCATCTATTTTCCGGTTTTCACCAAAAAGCCTTCAAATTTCTATTTTTCCCCTTCCCTGGATTTTTCTTACAGCAAGACCATGTGCTTCCAAACAGCAAAGACTGAGACTGCTGAGACCTTATATTTCTGAAAAGTACTTCTGCTATTCCTCTATTTTAAAGGATAGAAACACAAATACTTAGTATATCAAGAAACTATCATTCAGGAATCTAGAAGTAGTATATAACAGAAACTGTCCAGCTCATTTTTTCAGGTTATTTTTCACATTGTAATTTTGATACTATCTTGGAATATCAAAAAGAACAAATTTGATTCATTCAAGAAAATCAGCTTTACACATATTCTGTAAAGAATATTCAAAATAAATAGAATCATTTTTGTGTTCCTCTTTTTGCTTATTTTTGTAGAGTATTTTTAAGACTATGCTAAATGTTGCCTAAGTCGGTAGGATTAAAAAAAAGAGAAAGATTAAAGAATTGCTCTCAATTTTTAAAATAAATATATACTTAAATCATAGTTTTCAATCACATTCTTGCCTTCTTCAAGAATACATTGTAGCTGCTAAAAATAATGCCATTATCCTTTTTGTGGGTTTACCAGCATATGCTGATTTTAACATGATTTCTAAAATAACTGTCCTTGCATAGGCACTCATTTTCCTAAAACTATCTGGGAGCAGAAGATATTCCTTATAACAATAAGAGGAAATTATCAGTTCAGCATTTAAAAACTATCTATCTGAATCAATGTTCCATTAAACCAAGGAGCAGTGGAAGTAAATAGTTCACAATGATTTTCCTCATCGAGAGCTCCTGTAGCGGGTGCGTTAAATGGGTTGGCTTCCTATTTTGATCAGCAATTGGATCCTTTGCTGCCCTCGTCCTAAGCAGCTGAAAGCTTTGAGTGACAAGTTGCTTCTGTGGGAATAAGGAGCCTGACAATAATGTAAAATTTCTGGCCTGACTTCTTTTATCCACATATGCAAATAGAGTCCTGATTTCCTTAGTAATGCTTGGAAGCACCCAAGAAACTTTTCACTTACCACTCCCCAGACTTCTGAGACATCCTATCTCCCCATAGCTTCTTCTTTTTTCTCTCTTTCAAGCCTCATGAATTTATTACTCTCTCTCAGCCACCAGCTGTACTTCTGCCTGGTAAACCACGAGGGTAGTGAGCCCTCTTGTCCTTTCTTTGCCATCAGTCCCCACAGACGTCTCAGACCACACTCAGATCAACTTTTCTATAAGGTTAACTGCCTTGGCCAACAGCTCCCTCTGTCCCAACCTATCTTGTCACATTAAAAAAAAAAATGTTTCTTCCTTTACCCTGTAAGAAAAGTGCTTAACAGCTATTGTGTTTAACAAGGTCTGTAGATTATGGGCTTTGACCATGGCCATTAGTGCGACTTGTCCCAGTGACTGCATTGAGCTTGCAGGGGTATTACAGCCAGGCCTTCACAGATGGCATTATGCAAATGGATTATTTAAATTAATATATGTGAAATCAACGTTCAAATGCACTGTAGGCAAGTATCTGAATTCTGTATAAACAAAACAATTCATTAGAACTGGTGATAAGAAAATTTGTAGAAAATTTTAAAAAATGGGACTTTAAAGAACCAGTGTGATTTCTGTGGTGCACCTGCAGGCTGGCAAAAATCATCTTGCAGAAACTGCTCAGACAGTGTCAAATACAAGTCTGTCTGTGTTGTTAGCAAATAATAGCTCCAAATTCTTTTTCTGAGTTCAAGGTTGATGGGAGATCACGAGCTGCCTGGCTGTCACTATTAAAAAGAGTACAAGGAAATAATAAATAGAACCCGCTATATAGACTGGGTATGAATTTTATGGTGGCAATGAGGTTAATAATCTTTTGACTTAAATTGTAGCTGAAAAAGAAAACACTGGAAGTGACTGTCTGGGATTATGATAGATTCTCCTCAAACGACTTTCTTGGTGAAGTGAGTATCTATTTTTCTCCTTTCTCTATCCTTTCTAGTGAGAAAGATTAGCTGCATACCGGTGTTTGGAAACTGTTTGCTTCCTAAGTATAGGAGTAGTGCAAACATGTATTCTTGAAGTATTACCATCACTATATAATGGTTTTAATGTTGACTTCATAACAAATTATCATGATTTCCTTCATTCAGACATATAAGATATCTGCCTTCTCTTTCGCTCAAGGAACTATAGGTAAGTTTATTTGGGACTCAACACATTTTTTCAGCTTTTTTAATGTGATATGGCAGGCTGAAAAGATATCAGCCTTTGAAAATGATTAACATCTTAAATTCTGCCATCAAGGCATACTTCAGCACATGCAAGAGTAGCTTTAAGTGTTAGTTATTTGGTCTTACTGATTCGAGGTCACATTTTTTAATTTCTGTGAAATAAATAACACTACAAAAGTTAACTGAAAGCGAAAATTTGTAAGGTTTATTGTGAATACTCTAATAAGTAATAATAAATGAGATAGATAGTCAAGGGAAGCAATACACTTTCTCTTTAAAAAGCAACTAAACAGAAAAAAATCGATTGCTTGAGTTACTGTTCATAAACAGTCACTTAAAGTATCTCTGCTTATCCTGCCCTTGAATTTTGCAAACAGGCAGTCAGTTCAGCTCCAGTTCCCTTTTTTGTGACTATAAAACTGGGCAATCAGCATCCCTATTTGAACAATTACTAAAATAAATACATAGGAAGCAGCTACATGATTAGTTATTTCCTGCATGCTGCATCAGTATTCTTGCTGAGTTCATTATATTTATCCAAATGCAAGGCTTTACTGAATGTTTACATCATTATTATTTATGATATTTAGAAACGGATGCTCCTGCAGCTGCTTTCCCAGCAACATTAAACTTTTAGCTTGAAATATTTTCAACCTCTACAACTATTATATTTATTATATCATCTGGACTTAAATAGGAAAACAGTTCTCCCTGGAGAAAGGAAGGGAAAGGCTTGCACAGTCATATCAAATAAGGAATATCCAAATCATGGCCTAAGGAATTTGTCAAAAAGGCGCAAGCAGAGCTGATAATGGGCATCAAAGAATGTAGTTGTATTGAATCCGACTGTAGTCACGTTACCCTAGAGGGCAAGTGGCACATCACGGTTCATATCCAAACACTCTTCTCTTATGAAGAGCCCCCAGTCTCCAAAACCTACTGGGAATGTTGCTGTCTTCCACATGCTTCCCAAAATCACACTAGGGAGCATGTTAGTAACTAAGTTGTATCCTCTGGTTCTGCTCCATTTATAAGAGTAGACATAACCGTAGATACCCAGCAGGGCATGTATGCATCTGTAGAGCTGTAAGAAAGAGGGAAAGGAAGAAAAACTTTTGACCTTCTGGACAAGACTAGTTGGTAGTTGTGAGGGGACTTTGCTGTACCTAATCTTGAAGGGGCTTTCTTTTATTCAAAGTCATGTAACCAACTGATAACAAAATAGTTCCATAAGTTATTCCACCTTTTTATTTGTCTAATATTTCCTCCCTATCTGATCTTAATGTTAATCCCTCTCTCTCATTAGAGTCAAATGCAAGGCTGTTTTTGCCCTTTCCTTTTCCAAGACTTTCTGACGACCATTTAGTATTCTATACCTGTTATGACTTTTTAAAAATAATTTCCCTAAATCTTCTTTAGCAATGCAAGTGACCTAGAACTGGTTTAGCTACTTTTTTAAATTATTATTTATTTATTTTTATTCCCCATTTTTGGCCAGGCTGCTCATTTCATTGCTACATTGCTATGATGCTATCCACTCTTCCATCTCCCTAGTGAAGTTTTGATTCCTGAATGGCCTATTGAATTCTGTTATTTTAATGAAGTGCAAAGGTGCAGTGTGCAAATCCCTATTATTTTGTTACAAATTCTGTAGTTATGGGAGTTTGAAAAGAATCAGCAGACACCAGTCTTTCTTATTACTAACAAATATAAAATTATTTGCTCTTCGCTAGCATTGACAAAAATGAGAAAATAACAATATACCATTCTTCTGTTAAAATGTGTCTTTACAAACAAATACAGAATAAGTAGATCATTTTTCTCTCATGTCATCAAGCTAGTGCTTACAAGCCACCCCTTAAAATAGCTAGTCATCGTGGTATAGAGTTGTATCTAAGCTAATAGAACCTAATGAGATCCTGCTGAGAAAGCATATTAATTAGCCACAGCAACTCGCTAATGAATGTTTCTTTTGGATCACAAACACTTTATAACAGGTTAGGTCAAGAGAGTGCATAGGCTGAGAATCTTGAGTCTGTCAAGATTCTGAGTCTGTCAAGAGTTTGACCCATCCTGAGATCCTTAAATTTGCTTGCAACTTCTGGTAACATAACTATAGACTCTTCTGCTAAACACCATCATTAATAGATCAAATTCAGGCCACATATTGTACTTTGAATCATTTATAGGTATTGATTGAGTTATCCAGCATCTCTCAGCTTGACAACACTCCTCGGTGGTACCCTCTGAAAGAGCAGAGTGAAAACATTGATCATGGGAAAACTCACTCTGGACAGAGTAGCCAACAATCTCCAAAACCTTCAGTCATCAAGAGCAGAAGTCATGGAATCTTCCCGGATCCCTCCAAGGGTAGGAATGAATGACACATGAAAAACTTTCCCAGATGATGAGAAAAAAATGCTATTCCTAAATTCTAATAGAAAAAAAATAGAAAGAAAATAGAAAAGTTACTTACTGCTGTAAAGTTTGTGTACGCTTACATTAAAACGTATTTCTCTGTCATTAATTCAGTGGAGTCTTGTGCCAAGACTTAATTTTGCCTGGTTTCTACCGACCAGCTTACTGAGCATTTGTTTGTATTAAAATAGCAACTTGTAAGCTCTATATGCTTTGCATATCTACTATAGATTCTGTGCTCTTTTCATTTTTTTCCTATAGCCTTGACCAAATTCACCATGTATTTGGCTTTCTTTGTCATATTTCTTAAATATTCTGTAGTCCTTTTATCTTCTGGAAATGTCACATTCATATTTTAAAAAATAGCAATTATGCCATAATAGCACATATGCATTTCCAGACAACGATGGCATATCATTTCAATGCAGCATATCTCAATTGCATTGAAAAAAAAAAAGAAAAGTGGAGCTAATGTAGTGGAATCATACTAGTATTTGTGACAGGAGGATTGGTCTCAATATCTCCTGCTCAAATTACTTTAACTCTACTTTTTTTTGTTTGTTTTTAATAATAAAAACTGTATTTTTAGCAATAATAATGAAAACCTTGAAAACATTGTGGCAAACAACTCAGCCAAGATGCAGTATATATAATATTCAAGTAATCCATCCAAGTTTAGCCATCACAAATGGAACCCAGAGGAGACCACCTCTTCTCTATTTCTCCGTGTAATGTTTTGCTAATGTATTTTTAAAACACAGTGTATTTATAAGATCAATATCTATATCAGAAGTTATTGGTTACTACAAAAGCTCTGATTGTACGTAGACAATGGTTTTGACCAAGGCATTCAGCAGTATGGAGGACAAAACTGCTTGTGTCACCTAAAATTCAAAACAGGCTTAAGTGATACTGTTTATTCTTTCCATAGTAGATAAGTAGAAGAAAACAGGGAGTTATTTAGTCTGTAGGCTATACCACTGTTCCACTAGTACAAACCACTGCAGGAAGCGTAATTTACAGCTGATAAAAAGCAAATAGTAAATGAATTATTCCTTGGGCCAAAGAGCAGTGAGGAAGTAGCAAACAGTGCTTTGTAGGAGTTTTCTAATGATTACATACTCTGGCACTCTGAATGGAGTTGTGCAGCTTAATCACTATTTCTTGTTCCAGGACATATCTTTTTTTTAGTTTGTCTGTTTTTAACAAACGCAACAGTTGTGCTTCTCCATTTCCCTGGTAGACATGCAGGTGCCCACCATAGAGAAATCTCACAGCAGTCCAGGAAGCTCCAAATCTTCCTCTGAAGGACATCTACGCTCTCACGGGCCATCCCGCAGCCAAAGCAAAACCAGCGTCACTCAAACGCACCTTGAAGACGCTGGGGCAGCCATCGCCGCTGCTGAAGCAGCTGTCCAACAGCTTCGCCTTCAACCAAGTAAAAGACGCAAATAAATTCCTCAGCATGGCAGCTTAATGTTCATCTGTTGCCTTTTTCCCTGCTGTCCTTCCCTTTTTGGCTATTTTTTTTCTTCTGTTACTAGCACACTGTGCTCACTCTTTTTCTCTGTCTTTCTTTGTGTGCCTGTGTGTGAATACATATAATTAGAGTATACTCTTGTATTTAGAAGTCTTTTATTTTATTTATTTATTTTTAATTTATATAGACTGCAGTGAAACTGGCTGTTTCTCCATCACTCCCGTCACTCATGGTCCATGATGTTCCATAGCTGTGCATGACTCACTGAAAATCCCACTGTGTGTTGGTGTTTTGATGTTGCTAAATAACTTTCAGTGAAGCAAGTACAACTTGCAGAGACATGGCTGCCAGCTTTCCAAGTCACACACAGCAAGTACTGAGAGCACATTAGAAACAAAACATTTCTACAAGCAGTAATCAGAAAGGACAGTAACATATAAAATGATTTCAAGCTTTTTTTTTTTTCTTTTAAGTTATTTAAGTAGATGGACCAGATTTCTATTTTTGAAACATATTAGCTTGTAAATATCTAACATTTTTTAGAAAGCCAATATAAGGCAACCTTCTTTCTTAATCTGTCAGATAAAGCCTTATTAGTGAGGAGTACACCAGCAACACACGCAACAGCTAAACAAATTTAGCGTTAGTAGGTTTTGACATTGTTAACAACTTGTTCTCCTTTTGCTTTGACTTTACTAAGTCAATTGGCAGAGTCTGTTCAACTTTCCTAGTAACTTCTGTGCCACCGATAGATTAAGGATTGGAATAGGTTTCATGTGACATCTTTAAATAAATTAAGAAATTACAACTTTTCCATTTGAAATCATAGTGCTCAGAGTGTAATTCAGGTCTGCATCTTATTGTCAGGTGAGGATTTAGATGCTGGCAAAGTAAAACTGTCCAAGTGTCAATTCATTGTGTTTGTGTTCAGGGACTGTTGATGCCATAAAGTTACCATGGTATAGTGCAAAAAAAAAAAAAATAGGGGGAAAGTTATTTCCCTTGTGTTCACCATCATTAATAAAGAAACAGCCAGTTTTATACTCTTTAATGCTGTGCATGTGGTGTCTCTTTGGTGTTTGAAAACACTACTTATTTAAATACAGAGAAAAAAAACACTTCTGTTTGCATGAATAACATTTAAGCTGGTTCCATCTGAGGATACATACTCTGGGTTTCCATTTCACCCACACTGCCACAGCAGCACATAAAAGCGGTCAGTCTAATCATGCCAGGAAGCAGCACAGACACAGCATAGCAGGAGTCCTCCCCATTCAAAGAACTCAGTCTGACAATCTGCCTCCACCAGCCAATGACAACAAC